ATATATATATATATATATATATACTTATATATTACACAAATGTATTGTGTATGTACACCGCTTGGCCTGCTCCTAGCTCAGATGTTTTATTTTAGAACCGGATTGAAATTCTGGAAATGCAAGTGTAGAGTGGAATGAAGGCCTTACGTTTTAAGAAAGGTTGTCGTGTAAAATATAGGGCTGGTCTGGCCTAACTCACAGTACTGGACTCGCTTATCAAAGTATCTCAGGAGCGGGACTCTCTTCCACCTTCTACATGTGGGCTTCACTTTGTAAAAGACCAATGTGCACAACTGTACAGCAAGCTCCTGCAGTGTGCTTACAAAGCTTTTATCCAGCGTCAAGCAGCTTTGTTGAAGCCATTAAACGGTTAATAATCCCTCGGGGGTTTTGCATATATCTACTGCTATGCAAAAACATAAAAAAAACTTTCCAAAAGGGTTAAAACGTACCTGTGTCTCCACCGCACGCTCCAGTCCGGACATCTGAAGATTCTCGGGCGGCCGCAAAGCATCTTGGAGAGGGCGCATGTGCTGTTCAGATGTTCGGCCGGGAGACGAGGACAGACATAAGGTAAGTCAATGCAGCAGCGAGCACCCGAACAGACTCCGTGGGACAGGAAGTGCCAGTTAAGAGAGCGGAGTCAGCGCTGGATCAGAGACCGGCACCAGCGCTGGAGGGACAGCTGAAAACTCCTGGAAAGAAGATGATCGGATCAAGAGGCGTCATTTAAGGTAAGTCCTTACACCAGCATTGGGGGGAATTTATCCTTTAATGTCACTTTAAAGCAACATTTGTTTTGGGGAGGTTACACACAGATTTTATTGGGGAGTGCTGACTGTCACTTTAAATAAGCTGCTATTGGGCTTTACTAAGCTCTAGCACTGCTTGAAGCTTGTTGAAAGTGACAATCGGCACTCCTATTAACAACAGCTTTCTGGAATTTGATTTACGGCTTAGTACAACTCTCAGGTGTGAACAGGTACCATTAAATATAATGGGAACCTTCATATCGAGCTTTGTCGCACTTTGGGAAACATGCAACAAATCGCTCAAGTGTGAATGAGGGCTTCAAGTGTATTTCCACTGTTGCAGTCAAATGTAAGAAAACTCCTCTATATGTTTACAGTATATGTTCCCATTCACACAGCATCATGAAAAATATATCCAATTTCAATATTTCTTTTCTTTAAGATGTTTTGTTGCAGCAGACAACATGGCTGATTCCAGATTTGTTTTCCTGAGCACTTTCTTAGTGATCTGTCTTCCAGAACAGTGGTTCTCAACCTTTCTAGGGCCGGGACCCCTCGATAACATTGACCCCCAATGGTAAAATTTAGGGATGCACTGATACTAGTATCTGTGTGGGCTCTCGGGAGGCTATGCGGGCTCTCAGATGGCTAGTGGGACTCTCTGTTGGCGTCCAGTGCGGGCTCTGTGGTGCCCAATGCGGGCTCTGTGGTGATCAAGCACTCACCTCCCCTCACTCCTCCCTGCTCCCCTCTCTCTGATCCTCTCTGGCCTCTGCTGCTGCAATGCCATCTAAGAGAACTGACACTGCTGCGCTAGGAGGAGGCTGAGGAGCCACTTACCTAGAGCAGCACAAGGCACGTGGGAACCCTCTCAACTGTGGGTCACGACCCACAGGTTGACAACCACTGTTATAGAAAGACTGGGTTCACACTGGGGCGTTCGTAATATGCGCATTTGAATCGCGTTTCGGGCCGCTTGTTTTACCGCGATTTGCTGTCAACGAAACACGCGACAAACGCGCGTTTGCGAGGGCTATCCAGCTGTATCCTAATGGATACGCGTGGAAAATACGCCCCAAAGAAGCTCCCGTACTTCTTTGGGCGTCGGGCGTTTTACAGTGCGTAGGAATGCGCTGTAAAACGCCCAGGTGTGAACCAGGCCTTAGGACTGACATTTCATGATCGTGTTTCTCTCAATAACATACTATGGAGAAGCCAGGGTTGTAATCCTTTAACCCTTTGTTAGCACAGGCAGTGCTCAAGTCTACTTTACATATTATAATGAAAAAGAAAAGACCCCTCACAGCCCGTCCTAGCATTACAAAGAAGGAGAAGCAAATCGAAATGTAACCCGTAAGAAGCCAAGAAACCCTTACCCAAGTAAAAGCAAATGAAACTGCAAGAAGCATGTTTGACATTTTTTCCAGCTTATGTTATGTGAATGGCAACATGTAACAAATATAAAATAAGAGTTATCCCAATTTGGCCGTGAAAGTGGAAATGCACTTTAAAGGCTTTGACAAAGCTATTTGAAGCTTACCGAACGCATTTTGATTACTTTAAAATGAGTACACGTTGGTCATTCGCATACTGAAGTCCATATGTACAAAGCCTTCAAACAAACATGTGCTTTGACCATCCAGAACAAAGTCAAAGATTTGCTTTAACACCCCCCCCTTCCCTCCCCTCCCCACGGACATATACTCACTTTTCCTGCACTTCCTTGTTGCTCCGTTCAGCTACTTACCAAAGTGAGTATGTACTGTGGGGGAGGGGGTATACCTGTTAGCTTGCCTTGCATGGCAGAGCACGCATTTCTGCTTTGCACATAGTAGGCAGTTTTTTTCCCATTGCTGCGTGGTCAAAGCTTACATCCAGTTGCTGTAAGGCAGCGGGAGACTTGTACGAGACAGTCCTACCTACAGCACTTTGTTACATGAGATCATCTGATAGGTTCAGTAAACATCATCTCCTGATTGTACAGTTTATTCCCTCCGCTTCATGCTGCCATGTCATATTTTGGCATAAAGCATGCCAGTCACTTGGTAAAGTTTAGTTGCTGCTTATCTTGCCTTAAAGAGATTACTGTTGAAGTCCAAATCCAGCTTTAAAGAAACACGCCCCAGATCCTCCGTGAGCCGTGCGGCGCCTGCTTGCTTTTATTGCAGATCCCCGCTTCTATGCTGCAACTGTTGAGCTAAAGGCCGCGGCAGTGCAGATGCTGAATCAAATAAAGTGACTGCAGAGAGGGAAGTCTTATGCCCAACCCCAGTGCTGTATGATGGAATGCATCCCCAGCATCCAGCAGGATCATGTCGTTCTCCCTCCTCTTCCTGTCCCTTCAGCCATTCACAGAGCTCCTAGTATTATTTATGTAAGGCATTCTGTGAATGGACAAGGGGCTGCCCTGCCATTCGTCCACCCTCCTCCATGCACTGAACGTCTTGCATGCTGGGAAAAATAATACAAGGACTCCACACTCCAAAGATGTGCTGGTAGGTTAATTGGCTCAACTGAGTGAGGCCCAAGATGGCTGACCTACTAAGCGCTTTGAGTTCCCAGAGAGAAAATACCTATAGAAATACAAATTAAACTAAGTCACTTTAAACTGGATGCTGGAAGACTCCACAAATGTTATTAGTCCTGAAGCTTACTGGAAGCATGTTTATGCTCATTTAAGGGGACAGCCAGCACCCCCATTACAATCTCTAACCTCCCCAAACTGGAGCCTGACATTCGCTTGGCACTTTAAAGGTTTTACAAAAGCTTGGCGCTAGCTAAATACCTTGTAAATAGCATTTGCTGTACACATTGCTTCATTACAAGGCAAACCCTGTGTGTACAGGACCCCAGTGCAGGCAAATGGCTAAAGATGCCTTTGGGAGCACGGAATTCCAAAAAGATTGTAATTGTGTGCACCCGTTTTTTTTTTCTTCCACCATCACCATATTCATTATCCTGACCATTCACTTTGTCAGAAGCAATGCAGCCTGGTTATAAGACTGTAATTGTATAGTGAAGGAGCAGAAGCTCACCAATGGGGCCATGTGTAAGATTCCCAGCGCGGTGCAATGCTGTAACGCCGTATTGGCCAAATATGCTGCCCCTTCCTCTCCCAGTCTGCATGTTGGTGTGCAGGGGATAACAGGGGCTAGTGCCAGGACTAGACCGGAGTCTTTAACTCTTTTCATATTGGATTTCATAACTGGATGAAGTGGAGGAATTTTAGATCTACCGATTTTTACAATGAAAGTAAGAGGACGGCACTTCTACACCACAAGAGGAAGTCACCAGAACAAGAATAGCCGCCGGCAGATTTTTACCTGGCCTGCTTTTGGGATGAGGGATTCCCCCTCACCTTCTCTCCGGGTGACAATGATTATTGGACATATATTGGGTTTATATCTCCCCTGCAGGGATGCAGACATCAATGAAAACCTAACAGGGCTCTAACCCTTCCCTGCTTTATCAAACTAGAAAAATGGTATTTGCTGTAGTTTCACTAACACTTAACCCTTAAACTCACTGCGACACTTATAATGAAATTCTTAACACAGCCATAACCCTAAAATGTAACCACTAAAATTGGCAATTAAGGGCCCTCTTGCACTTAACCCTTAACCTCCAACCCACGGAGCCCTGGGTATAAAAGGGGCTGTATGGCCTTAGTGGGGCCAAAAAAAAACAAAAACCTATTTCTAGAACACAGCGGTGTGCTTTAGAAATGTTCATTACGCTCCCCCTGCTTTGGAAGTCTGATGCAAGAGAAGCGCCATTCATGACTAAAATCTGGAAGGATGGTAACCCAATCAGGTGGCCTCTTAATGTCATGTGACCGGCCTTGCCTTTAATCATGGAATTTAATGCAGCAGAGAGACCTCCATGGGACATGACCAGCTCCTCACTGTGCCCATTCATAAAACGCCCGTTGTGGTGTGGAGTAACACTCTGGTGTCCAGCAGAGAGCAGATATTGGTGGTCACTCTCTGCCATAAATAGGCCCCTTAGAATTAACCCTTACACCTAACCTCTAAAATGAGCACTTAACTTCCCTCTAAACACTTCACCTCCCTTTAACACGTCACTTTAACCCTTACACTAAACCTCTACGGCTGAAACTTAGCTGTAATGAAAAACTCCAGCCACTCATTTTGGGTAGGTCGGGGAACGGTTAGCACCTTCCAGTTTTTTTGTTATTGTTGAGTATACCCCCTTGAGAGTTGTCACTTGCTGTCCTGGTCTGCACTGCCAGTGGGACAGAAGGTGAGGGGAAATCTAACATTTTAGAGCTGTCAATGGAACAGGAGTAGAGGAGGAATCTCCCAACAACGACATCTGTTCCAGTGACTCTCCCTGACTTCCTGTTGTGTCTACGGAACAGGATGTGAAGGGAAATCTCCCCAATGGGACACAGACGGTATATTAAAACACAAACAAACCTGACAGGGCTTTTAACCCTTCACTTTGAGGAGATCTCATGGGACTTCCTATTACATCTCCAGTACTGTAAGTGAATTGTAAATCTCCTTAGTGGGGCACAAACCGTAAATACCTAACAGAGTACATATTTAAGATGTCTTTGTGTAATTAAAGTGCAGCTGAAGCCAAAATGTGTGGGTTTTTTTTTCTTTTCTTCTAGTTTTGGATAGAGTGGAGAAGAATTTGAACTCCTGTCAGGTTTTTATTGCCGTCTGCGTTCCTGTTGGGGAGATTCACCCTTTCTATTTGTCCTGGTGACCATTATCAGTGACTGTGAAAGAAAATGCCAAATTTGGGGTTGTCACCAGAACAGGAATAGAAGGGAAATCTTCCAATGGGGCACTAGTTATGGTGACCCTGCTGACCACCATTTATTTCCTTTGCGGGGGATTTCCTCTCACTTGTTGTGGCGATCAGACAGAAATCTTCACAATAGATGGCAAAAAAAAGGTTGACAGGCGTTATAATCCTCCCATCCTCTATCCAAAACTAAAAACGAGAAAGGTTTTGGCTTCAGCTCCACCGTTACTACTTCATTGCATTTCATAAAACCAGAAAAGGGAATGTTAGCTGGCAGGTTTGATCTTTTCTAGCAGATTGGACTTACTACAGACCATGTGACTGGATGACTCATGTGCATTCCAATCAGGCGTGGCATCCACTGCACATTTTATTGACTTTCTGAGCGGCTGTGGCTTTTTCATGTGACTACATAGAGCTGCAGATATCTTTACAGGTCCATAAGAATATTTGAAACCCTGCAGTAGATGTAGCCACTCTCCAACAGCTCGGCGAGGAGCTGAACAAGTGGATTTTCCATTTCATAGACGGGGAATGTATTTTTTCCATAACCCAATATACTAGAACAGAACCATCTGCAGGCTGAGGGCTCGGGCCAGATTTCAGCCTTATTTATCAAACGCATGTGCTGCTCATAGCGACCAGCTTCTTCCGTTACTCCTCCAGTACAGGTTCACAAATGTATTTGGTGGCTATGAGCAAGAGCCGGACGGGACAACTCGGGCCCTTTAATGCCAGTAAATGAGTTCCCAGCAGCATGCATTCAAATGTCTGTATTCTAACATCTCCGTTTTCAGTTGTTTACAATGTTTAATCTGTTACCAGAACGTCCTATATTAGCCAGGCGCGGAGAGAGCGTATTAATATAGATGGTACACTTGGTGAATTTGAATCCAATTTACTTTTTTTGCACTTTAAATCTGTTTTATAGAAGGCAGAGGGATTGTCATGTGTATGATTATTGGGCTCAGTAATACAATGTATATTCAGTCATATTTTTATTAAAATAAACCCGTTCCATGATCTCTTATG